TGATTGATGAAATTGCTGGTCATTGGTCATCAACTTAACCTTCAATCTCCTCTCCCTGCCTTGGAGGTTGGAGAGTGAGGCTGAAAGTCCCCAAACTCTAATCTTGCCTTGGTCTTTCCTGGGACCAGCCCCCACCCTGAAGCTGCCTAGCAGCTGCCAGCCACCAGCATGCAAGTGATACTCATCACTTTGAAGGTTCCAAGGGTTTTAGGAGCTGCATGCCACAAAAGAGGACAAAGACCAAATATATATATATATCATATTATAAATCACAATATCATAGTGGCATAACCATAAGAGAAAAGTTATTACAAGTGCCTTGAAAACACAGTAATTTGACTTTCTATTGCTAGTAGGATATATTTTTTATTTTTAGAATTTAAAAACCATTTTTTATACAATATTTACTCTGAAATATACAGCTAGCACAACAAGAATAGCAACACAGAACACTGAGATGGCTTACACCATTTGAATAACAAGCATACAAATAGAGAGTACTGCTGGGTAGACTTAAGAAAGAAGACAAAATAAGAAGGATTGACATACTTTAACAGAGAATGAGATGCCTTTTCCAAAATGAGAAACACTGATATATGAAGTAATACTTGACAATGGAATGTCTGCATGAGAATAAACAGACATGGCTCTAAAATCTGTAACTCCTTCCATATTATGTGGAGCCCAGAAGTCTGTTTTAACAATTACCTTGAGAACTAATGCCCTAGGTTGATAGTTAGCTGACCTGAGTATGCTGTTCTTTTTCTTTAAAACTATTAAAACAATTAATAAAAGCCAGTCAACTAGTTAATAATTTAATTACCATTATCCTCAGACATTTAAAGGGCTTGGATGTACCACATAACATGTACCTCATCCTACCTGTACCTCATCCCGAGACACAGTAGATAAGACTATTAGTAATGGCAATGTTGGAGCACATCAATAGTTACCATTTTTCTATTTACCCCCAACAATGGAAGGCCTGCTGCTATCTGACTGGTAAGTGATTCCTTTCCCAAATACTCTTCTAAAGTTCTGTTTTGATAAAATCAATACAGTTACAATGAGCACTCTTACTGTTAAGATTATGGTCTCTAAATACTAATTTTCTTTGAAAGGAACTGGATATTCTTAGTGAAATGGGTGATATCAAGTTTGAGATAGGAAATACACAAGGTAAGCCTATATCTGGTCATACCAAAGGCAATTAATCTATTAAAAATAGCTGAGGTCATGTCAGAAGGACTCAGGAACCGCCTTTAAATAATCAAAAATTTGTGCTGGCCCATGGCTCACTCGGGAGAGTGTGGTGCTGCTAACACCAAAGCCACAGGTTCAGATCCCATATAGGGATGGCCAGTTAACTCACTGGGTGAGCATGGCGCTGACAACACCAAGTGAAGGCTTAAGATCCCCTTACCGGTCATCTTTAAAAAAAAAAAAAAAAAAAAAAAAACAAAAATTAACATCCTGGGAAACTGGAAGAAGCAAATTACAAAAAGGAGTTTTTCAAGCTACTCTTTGTAAAAACAAACTTTTACTCAGTTCTCAAAGAATTCAAAAGGGCAAGATAAATGAGTAGTTCAAAGTTAATCATCAAATATGCAGGGAAACAAGGCACTATTCTGTTGGTGTGAAAACCAACAGAAACAGAACTGTAAAATCATCATATATTAGATGAAGAATATAAAATATTTATGATTATTAAGAATTGATAAAGGAAGTGCTGTCTTAGACTGGATTCCCAAGACACAGCACTTGAGACAGGGATTTGGATGAGTATGTTTTATTGCAGGAGTGCTCATCAGGAAAACCTATGAAGGAGAATGGGGAAGGGAAAATAACTGAGCAGGAGTACTGATGCTGGGGGAAGGGTCTGGTGAGGCCCTATAGTTGCCCTCAACCCACGTCATCCTCTTATCAGGATCTTTACTCCATGACAGGAAAGAATTCAAGAGCAGAGTCACAGCACAAAGTAAGGACACGTCTAATATAATGAATAAGATACAGATTTTTCAGAGTGCAGCCTAGCTCCAGAGACTGAGCATGGCCCATACCAAGTTTAATAAAAATGAAATACCCACTTAAAGTTCAGTACAGAGTGCAGACTGGCTCAAGAGAGTGAGCAGCCACCTGCCAAAAGTAAGCTTAACACAAAAGTAAAAGCATGCACACCGTGGCCAGCAAAGTGCAGGCTGGCCCCAGGAAAGGGGGCAACAGCCACACCTTCTGCCAAGATTCATCTTTTAGAATTTTTCTATCTAATATATATTTACATTGTTTAATGAATATTCAGTTAAAGGGGTGGTCCTCTGTGCTGTAACATAGCCTTGCACATGCCGAGTTGGTCTCTTTTTAGAGCATTTTTGTTGGTCAAATCCTATCACACATACTGAACACATTCAAAAATATTCTGTGCTCTTTAGCACCTCTAGTGGAAGGTCGTTCAAAGGATAAATTCCACTTTACGAAGCATGCTTGGCTACCAGGGTTATCTAACCCCTCTCTACTGAGCATGCCCAACCACTGGATTTGCATAAGCCAGGCCCTTGGGGTCTCAATTTCCCCATTGGTGATGAAAGTAGTTCTAACAAGCAATAGTTACTCCCCTCTAGGGGAGGGCCTAGAGGAGGGACTTGAGACCTTGGGGAGTGGCTTGAAACCGAGAGGCATGTCCTAAAATCTGAATCCAGGGAAACTAAGCACCTCCTATCTCAGTATGGTCTCAGGTAAAATTCTAGTGTTGGCTTAATGCACAGACTACAGGTGGTTTCTGAAGCATGAACTGCAGTGTGTGAAATTCCCCTACCCATCACTGATACAATGGGTGAAATTAGCTAGCATATTTTTATGGGTACATACATAGGTGTAAATCTTAAAGAACATGAGGGAATGATTAACAAAATAGAATTCAGTGGTTTTCTCAGGATTTGGGGAGGGAGGGAAATGGGAACTGAGAGAAAAGGAGTTTATAATGGTCTGTTTCTTAATCTGAGTGATGAGTATATGGCACTGATTATGCTTTGAACAATTTGCATGTTTAATATAATTTTAATGTGATTAGCATGAAATATTTTAGAACATAAACCTATAAGAACCTTCATACACTTTCTCACTGAACGGTCTAATACATACCCCTCAGTTTTTTTATGCATAGCATTTTCTAGTTGTCTTTCATAGAGATTAAAATTTGCAATTACGTGTTTTCTTGGGTATTTACATGTTTAATGTCTATTTCTCCTACTAAGCTACATATTCCATGGGAACTGAATCCGACGGTCTAATACATACCCCTCAGATTTTTTATGCATAGCATTTTCTAGTTGTCTTTCATAGAGATTAAAATTTGCAATTACGTGTTTACTTGGGCATTTACATGTTTAATGTCTATTTCTCCTACTAAGCTACATATTCCATGGGAACTGAATCCGAATCTTCTTCGCTTACCACTGTGAAGTTAAAAATGATTCCTTCTATATGATGCTGTGTATGGTTGTGTTCTAAGGGTTTGAGAACTCTCTCATCTATGAAGATGAGTTTCATCACATTAGAGTGGGAAGCTTTGCCAATGTGATTATGTAACCACTTTATTAAGTGAGATAACATGTAAATAATGTAGCACAATATGGGGTGCAAAAATACTCGATAAATATCAATAATTGTTGGTTTTGGTAGTGTTGGCAGGTGATGGTTTTGGAGTTCCACATCTTATTATTTAATTCTACCGTCCACAGGAGTTGTCTAAGTCATTTTACTTTATCCAAATTTACTTGACCAGGAGCAATAATTATGTCATATTCATTCTTTCTTGCTAGTTATGTGTACATGACCAGTATGAAGAATATTTTGCCAATTTATCAATAATGGTTGTGGCATCAACAACTGAGAACCTGGTAAGTCCAACAAGGCTGAATGTAACTTTAGTTCTCATAGTAGAAAAGAAAAGTCCATACATTTGAGATAAAGAAGTCAAGAGATGAAGCACTCACGTCTTAATTCAAATCCTCAATCATATGTATCTTGGGGTGATTTATTCACTACTTTTGGAGACAGAGTGATATCTAAACGCTTACATCAGTGGAAGTCCCCATTAAAAAAAACAAAGAGAGATTATGATAACATTAAATAAAGGAACATCCTTTAAAAGTGTGAATTAGGACCCAAGAGTGGGTGTGGAAATAATTTAACAAGGTTCAACCAATACTTCTTGTAATGACATAAAATAAAATAATATCAGAGTACAGACGAATAATTTATGAAACTTTTATTTTTGCTATATATGCCATTTTTTATGAAATCTAAGATGCTACCTCTTCACTGTACGAAGCATGATAATTTGAGTTGGTAATGTAAAAAAAATGGCCAGTGGCAATTCTGTGAAACTATTGATTGAAAATTAAAAGAGGTGTCCTCTTTCAGAGATGTTAAAATATGACCAAAAAAATCCTAGAATCAATAAAATATGGCATCTACACATATAAATTCTGGTCTCTGATATTAAATATATTTCTTAGTGTGGATTGTGGCAAAAAATATTTGAAAGCCACTGTCCTAGAAAATGTATTTTCTTTTCTTTAGATTGGAGTAGGATGAAACATTGCAAAATCAAACATGTATCAGACCGTTCAACCACAATATTTAAAAGAAACTCCTTGGTAAATTAAAACTAAAGTAATATTTCCACAATTTACAGAAGAATTCCACATACAATGGGAAGTTGTCCATCAAGTTAAAAATTAAACCAACATGAAACATTTCAATGACAATGAGATGTGACAGCTAATCGAGACTGTGTACATAATACTTGGACCAATATAGTCTTTGATCCCCCAAACACCTAGAAACTAGACAGCAAAGTAGATTCCTCAGGGCTACAGACTCCATAAAGTATATCAGATTTTTTTGGTAAAGTATATGATTTATTGCCAGTTTACTGCAATCAATTTTGAAAAACTTTCAATAATTAAAAGTTTAATAATAAGCAGCTTTCAGTATAATTTGCTTAAGTTGTTCTAAGAAAAACACTGCTAATTTTTTGTTTTATTCAGGGTCCACTACAGAAGTTAGCAGACTGATAAATTTATAAACATCATGGAAGGAATTGTAGAGAGGAACTGGAGCCACTCGAATTCCATTTGGATCCCGCTTGTCACACTGTAGGGGGAAAAAAAATAAAGTCACAATAATGTTAGCATTTTTCACACATTGAAAATCTACATTCAAAGTAAACTTACACAAAGTGTTCATGCTTATTTCCCTTATACTTAATATATAAGCAAAAATTTTCACTCCAAGTAAAGCATAGTATTTCTATGTTATTTGAAACTTTCCTCTTAATAATAATAAAAATACTAATGAGTAGGTACATGAATATCCAAAGTACTTTCCTAAAGTCCACTGAGCCACTATCTTCTTTAAACATCCAATAGATCACATATACCATTTTTCTGTGGGGAAACCCTGGAGTGACTGGAACCCCTGGACAAATTTAAGTGAATGAGAACCTCACTGGGATCTGGAGAGTTTTAGCAAATGTTCCTTAAATTTAATTTTCTAATCTCTGATCTTGCAGGTAAAGAGTTGGTTATATCCCTGGGAATGCTGATAGGTCCTGAAGTAGCAGATAATTTGACCTGGCCTGAAGATTGCTATGGCCAACTTTAAGAAACACTCACTATAGGCTAGGCAATACGGTCTTTAGTTTTTCTATGCCGGGTCATTTAATTCCCATAACAACTCTTTCAGGTGGGTATCTTTACACTCAAAATACAGATGAGACACCTCAGGCCAATAGATCTTAATGAATTGATCTTAATGAATTTTCCCAAGAGCACACGGCTTAGAAATGGCAGGACTTGATTTGGAATCCTGATATTCTCACTTGTGCCTCTGGAATCTGGGGTAACTTCTCTTAAAGGCTTAGAAGACCACACAAGTGAAGGAGCTGTGCCTAAATTATATTATCATTGGAAATAGATATGTTACCACTTTTTTCCCTGAAATTACTCAGTTAACTTTTATAAGTTCTCTTCAAGAGACTAAGAAGCCCACATAGGCCCAAGAGTAAAAAAATAATTATTCCTTGTAATGTTACCATTCCTGAGATGTCTACATATCTTTTTTGATTGAAATGATGAGGTTGAAATTAACTTAGTTTCATCAAGCAACTAAATAAGACTAACTTCTTCTTTTTTCCCCCCTTAAATAAATGGATATGTTCTTTAATTTCATTTATTCACTAAATATATATTGGAGTTTTCACTAGTGAAAATATGTCCTGATCAATTATGACAAAATAATATTTTTCTGCCTGAACTGCTATGAAAAGGATGAATAAGTTACATATAACCAAATTTGTGGTTTCTTCTCAAAATCGGAAATGACAGATCTCTATGCCCTTCAGTTAACACAGTGCTGAATGCTTGGTTGGCACTTAATTTATCATTAACTGATTGACTGATGTGAAATAACACGCAACAGTGAATAAACCAAATTTTATTGCCAACATGAAGCCCACAGAAAAAATCCACTAGCAAAGCAAGAGATGTGCTTACAACCACTCCTCTTTTTTCTAGTTCTTGGAAAACATCTTTGTTTGGAACAGAAAATGTTAGTGTTAGCTGGCAGCCCCGATCCTCTATACGGGATGGAGTAATTATGTTCACAATTGGTTTCTTGGTTTCTGCTTTATCTTTGCTGTAGTAATGCTTGATCATGTATTCCAGATAACCAGTCAGCAAAACAGATTTTCTCCTCAATGCTTTCATAGTTGCTTGCCTAAAGATCTGCAGAATGAGAAACAATCAGATTAACAGTGTCTTATCGATTTACAAAGAAGCAAAAATTAAGTGTGAATCATGCATAAAAAAAGGAAATGCCCACTTTTGACCTTTCCAATAAACATCCCCTTTAGGTAATCTTTTTTTAAAAAAAACATGTCCTCTTTTAAATGCATTGCAACTAAAAACTAAAGGCAACATTTCCATAGCAGAAAATTATAAAAATATCATTTAAAACAAAAGAAAAAGAAAAATTAAGTTAATATCATGTTCCTTCATAGTTATTTTAGATTAGCTTAGTATGATCATCAAGAAAAGCATACCTTAATCAATGCATTTAAATCTAAAATTTAAACTTGTTCCCCAAAACCATTTTATAAAATCATAATCAAGAAGACTTTTTCTTTTCTGATGTAAAGTTTGTTTGGTCCACAAAAAGTGCAATATGAGCCAAACACATGAGCTTTCACATATGTGGAGGGAAGTGTTACTAATATTATTTGTAGTTGTTTTTCTGATTCCTAAATTTCCCCCAGTTTAACAGTAAGAAAAAAAGCAGTTAAATAATATAGCTAAGTTTTCTCAGACAGGGAAGCAAATAAATGTGAAATAGTACATTTATTATTACTGCAGCATTTGGTCTTTCTTTTTTTCTTTCTTTCTTTCTATCATTTTTTTCCCTGCTAAATTTTAGCACTAGTGTGAAAATAATGCCATTTGCTGCCTCAAGTGTCTTGTATTAAGATGAGTGACAAGGGCACACAATAACTGGTGTTGGAACATTAGGGGTCAGAACAGACGTGCCTTTCTGGCTTATCTCTTAAGGAGGTCAAGTAGAGTTTAAAAATATATCCTATGTATAAGAGCTGAATGAACTGAAACGCAGCATGATGGACTGGCAGGCCACTTAATGTCCCTTTTCTGTACCACAAGCAAAGATATCAAGAGCAAAGATAGGGTCATTTGGTGATGTCTAGACATGATCAAGTCTATGAACATAGTTATTTTTGTATGTACATGTGGCATATATGGGCAGGCATTCTAACAGGATTCAAACCATCCAGGCATAGATTTTCTGGAACTATGTCCCATGGAGGCTATGGATTTGGCTGAAGGAGGGGATGGGAGTTGTATTGAAGGTAATGGCATCTAAGGAAAAAGAAAGAGAGAAGATAGAATAGTACCTGTCTCATCCTTCAGCCAGACCTGCAAAGATATCAGCTGCAAGTAGAGGCTGGAATCTTTCTTTCCTAAGCCACTGAAATCCGGGGTGCAAACAATACTGCTTCAGGACTTAGGTGGCCCAGGTTACACGGAATTTGGTAGGAGGCCCCTCTTCATTTCCTTGTGTAAAACAAAATGTAGGTAGACTTGGCACACTGAGGACTCAACGGAACACAGCCAAGTTGTGGATCAAGGGCCAAGAATCAACATTCTTCACTGAATTACTCAGAGGGCAGGAGCAGGGACAGGCAAGGCTCAGGCCACAGCTGGTTTGGCAGTGAGATTATAAATAACAAACTATGAGAGGAATCTTCCCAAGATTCTCTTTGGAGATGAACAATATTCTAGGAAAAGCTAATTAATAAATAATCCGAGAAAATTTTCTGGTTCTGCTATTGGTGCCACAATAGGCACGTAGAGGCAATGTGGGAAGTGTTACTTTTAATGATAGTTCATTTGTATTCATAGGTTACTAAGACTTATAAAATGGTTAAGAAGTTTTGCTCTCGGAGATTTCTCTTGATAACTAGAAACCACATTTTTTTAATGACAAATAGTTTCAATTTCAATATACTGTGGAATGTTGTTAGTCTTTAATAATAAAATAACTAGGTTTAAAATTATTTTCCACATTACAACTACAGCAAGGGTACGTGCATTCACAGGCACTCTTAAATTCTTCTCACAGAGTATAAAAGTGTATTCTGAGGCCTCACCCAAAAATATTAAGAGGGACAAATAGAAGTTAACAGGGAAGTAGCATAAATATTCTCTTTTTGGCTTCTCATGTTTTCTATGCTTTCAATATGGAGAAAGAATAACTTTTTAAATTTAGAAAAAAATGAAAAGTGTAGTTTGAAAAATGTTCAGCTTATAACAGAATTCTTGGGAGAGGTTCAAATACTTGGGTAACTTTTTCTTACTGAGTAAAGCAAACACAAAGCTAGAAAATTTAGGTAAGTTTAAATAGGAAAAATATGAATAGTACGATATTTTCAATTGTCATATTTTTCTCTTTAATTCTTATAATTGGCTCCCTGACAACTTTGTGAGGAAACACATAGTGTATTTTTGTGTTTCAAATGTTCTGATTTGCCACGTATTTTAATTGAATGTTCTAATTTTGTATTTGGAAGCTGTTAATTTCATTATAAAGTCACATACTTAAAGGGTCTAAAACTTGTCTACTTATGGCTACATATGAATCTTCAAAATGCAGCATAGGTTATTGTTTAATTTCAAATAAGGGATTGAAAGATTGAGGGAACTTCTGAAGTACCTGGTTCATTGTCTGGCTAAGCTAAGGCCTGGAATCCTGCTCACCGCCCCAATTGTAGCACTCTTAATCCTGTTCGTGACGCCAATTGTCTGGCTACATGACCACACCAGTTGTCAGGCTCGGGCTCTTTTACCTGCTGGTAATCCTGCAACAACTGGGCCAATTGTCAAGCTAAGGCTGGGTCTGGAGCCCACAGACCCCTCAAGCCCATTCACACACTGGATCATAAACCTTTCACATGCCAGGCTGGGTCCCCAGACCCCACACATGCCAGGCTGGGTCAGCAGACCCCTTCATGAAGGTCTATGAGCTAGGTAACTGGCCAAAAGGTCCTCGGAAGGCGTAAGTTGGAAAGCATGGCCAAGCTGGGCAGACGCCCGAGGCAGATGCCTGCCCACCTGCTTCACTAAAACTCCTTTCTTTTCTCTCTTCCTCTCCCATCTCTCTCTCCCTCTTTCCCCAAAGAACACAAGAATAGCAACAAAACTAAAAAGATACATTGGCATGTGTGTGCACTAACTACACACACACACACACACACACACACACACAGAAACAATTTGCTTACAATGGATGTGCTAAAACCACACCCAATGGGACCCAAGGCCAGGGCCCTGACCAAACCATTCTATTTTCCCAACATCCATTTTTTACTCTTCATTTAAAAAATGAGGCAAATGGATTGAAGGAAAGCTGTTGCTTACAGAGGGTGACCCCAGTCCCCAATGGGGGGATAGAGTACTTACCCCCTGGTGCCCACCCTCATGCTCCTTCCCTTGATCCACAGTATTTTAAAAATTATTTCATAAATGACTAAGTCCCAACAATATAAAAGATGGTTTGAAACTGATTATAAGGTGCTATTTTTAATATCAGTCAATCCAATGCACATGTAACTGCAAACAAAGCCATATTAATATCTTTTTTAAAAAATCATTGTATTGAAAATCTGAGGTCATATTTACATACAATTGATTCTTAAGTACAGAATCTCTCCCGTATTCGACGATGCAAAATATTTTTTGAAAAGGAAGAAGATTCAACAAAGAGAGGCAGTTTGATTCATGCATTTCTTTCTTTCATTTACTCAAACTTCAACCACATGTCTCCTGCAATGCAATAACTGTTTTCAACAGATAGGGTAAGTACCAACATGTTTAGTTCACTGATGCTGAATCAGAAAGTAGGGCATTTTAACAGATAGAGACTAGAAAGGCAATTAAATACCTTATTTTTTAACTTTAAAATGTGGCAATTTATACTGGGCAGGAGGGGGGAGAATTTTGAAAAACACGTTCGGCAACATAAGGATGATGAACTAAAGATAATTTTGGTGAGAACATAGCCTCAGCAGTGAATGACTTTAACAAAAGGCTCTAGAAAAACATGTAAATGATAAGAAGCTCTAGAGAAGTGTGAAACCCTCTTTTTGTGGCTTTTAGAGTCCTTTTGCTAGGTTTAAGTTTAAAAATTAAAGGGAAAAAATAAATCAGTCCTCGAATTGGGAGTGAGAATAAAAACTTTGACTAGTTGACTGTAATGCAGTGTGGTAGGAAAATAACGGGAGCAAAAATAAGAATCTGCCTCCTTTCCCACAGCAGAAGAGGTTAAATATTGGAAGGAAAGCCAGCCCACTGGAGAGAACATATTAAAATGAGTGTCTAAAAGAAAATTTCTAGATATGTCTGAGAAATCATTTGTAAAGATAAAATAAATAAATAAATAAACAGAGAAAATTACATGAAGTACTAGTTCTTCCTAACATACGTGTTGGTGGTGCCTTTCATATTGTTACTCATTTTCTTCCTGATCTAAACTTGCAAAAGAAAGGAGAAATTTTATTTTGTTTTAAAATGTTTAAATAAACGTTTCTCTGAATGGGTATTATTTTATGAAGTCAAATTCATCATCTTATTAACTAATCAAATTTTTGTTCAAAAAACTTTCTAAAAATTATGTCACTGGCTGAAAAAGTCTTGTTCCTGGGTTTATTTTCCAACTTAAAAAAAAAAAAAAAGTCTGCCAGAAAGTGAAAACAGCACAAGCTCCATCTAGTGATCAAACTGAGTAGGTGCTCTTTAAATAGACGAAATGAAATGATTATTACTATCCTGTCGTGAAGATGTATGAAAACAGAGGTACTTGACACTGCCATCCAGTGGCCAGAATGGGAAACTGCTAAGTGTTCACAGAATTCTAGAATTTTACATTGTGGAGGAATTTTGAGTCTTTTTTTTTTTTTTTTTTTTAATCCTCTACAACAGAATTTCCTAACACGTCATAAACTAGATGAGTTTAAGACACATTAAAGAAAAACATTCAAATTCTTATTTTAATATATATGTATTCCATATATATATAAAATAGAGTAGTTCAAAGAGTTCATGGAAAGATTTGTATTATCTTTTAATTCTACTTTTATATGAATTTTTTGAATTTCCCTTGTATATAAAACCTCTATTAGAAATATATATGTTTATTTACTTAAAATCTACTTTAACTTTAGGGTTCTTGCTTAGGTGGTAAATGCCTAGCATCCACATGCTATAAAAATGGTTAACAGGAAAATAATTTGAGACGATGGCTAGTTTTGTTTAGTATCTCAGAATTTTCATGAGCAGTTCAAGCATCGTTGTTAAAAATAAGTAAATTAGGCATATATGTTTATAAAAGAACTCTTTATATTAAAAAAATTTTTGGTAACTTGAAACTTTAAGGCGAAATTAAGTAATAGATACTCATCGAATTTCTGGATCATTTCTAAATAATTTAAAATACTAAAACATTACTTATTAAGCCTAAATTTAAAGCTTATACACATGGACATATTATTCTTATATGGTATACAAAAGCTATATATATTTGGGTCTGTTACTAAACATGAAAAAAAAATTGTTTTATGAGGAATTACATGTTTCTAGAAATTATAAAATGTAGGTTTATAAAACATTGGTATGTAACGAACAGTCCAAAATGAACTACTTCTTAGGTTTTTACAAATTTAAGTTTACTGACTGTTAAAAATTCTAATTAATATATTAATTAAAACTACCAGAAATAGGGAAACTGTTCTGTATGCAGAGAGTACTAGAAAACTAAGATGTGTTTTCAGTGAGAAATTGTAAAACATATGAGGACATATATTTTAAGAAGAGTGATTTTTGTCTAATTCAGAATTTATTTAAAGACTTTCAAAACATGAATTTAGGAAGGAAATAGAAACAAGGCAGGAAAAAAATGAGTAAGTAGGAGAGTTAAAAAGAAGTTATAAGTATGAGGATGTATTTTTGGTAAAGAAAGTTGAAAGGAGAGTAATTTTTTCTTTTGCATGAGAGAAATTTGTGTAGTCAAAATGATAAGGGAAAGAGGAAGGTAAATCTTTATCCTAAGGTAGAATATTCATGAAAGGAATTTTATCTGTGATCAAGTTGGCTAAAATTTGAAGAGAATTATTTAAGTTTTTCTAAAAACTGAGCATTAATATCAAAACTAGAGTTCACTCCCATGTTTTGGAACAACAGAGTTTTCTTGAAGCTGCTTCTTTTAATGTTTTGTTTTCCAGATTTAAGACAACTTTTTAAAAAAAGCTATCTACGGCTTACAGCAATTTGGTAAAGCATACTTTTGTAAATAGAAATTGAAACATTTGCTTTTTCTCTTTACCTGATTCCTCCAGAAATTGGACACTGTTCTTGAGTATCCTTATTTTAATGGCAATAAGATGTGTGGGCCACACTGGGAGTTTCTCAAATGCCACAACCAGAGACATACGAACTGCAAACTAGGATGAGAAGTTGCTGAATTCATGCTGTGACAACTTTTCTCTCAATATCACGGAAACAAGACTTCCTATCAAAATGGGACTCTTAGGCTTTTTAATTTTTCCTTATGTATGTCTTCCTCTTTCACTTGGCAGAATGATGCTGTAGTTAAAATTTCAAAATCAGTAGCACCTGTGGGTAACTTGCAAATTGTCACTCTCTGCTTCAACCCAGCCATGGACTGCTGGCTTACCTACCAACTGAGCAGGAAGGAGTCTGTGCAGTTGCTAACACTTCTTGCTGCACGTGGATAATTACATTTAGTATTGTAGAGATAGTTACAAAAAAATTAATGAACAGGCTACTTGGTAATGAACAGGCTACATGGTTAAAATGAGTAGACCCTCATCTGCCTATTCAATTTTAGTTGGTTTGGTTCATGGGGACCCTGGCTAATGAGCATACTCCAAATTCTTGACATTTTCCTCTTGATAACCATAATACTAGTCTCCCTGGTGTGTTGTGTTCTCCCAAAGGTTTTAAATGTTTGTGAGCAGACATCCATTAAATGTCAAATGGTTCTTGACAAATGGTCAGACAGGTTGGAACAACAAAAACTCAATGAAATGCACATTAATGAGGACGCCTTAACCTATGCATGGCACATTGAGACTAGGAACCCAGAATGAGGGTAACTGAGAGTGGCACTAATGCCCTTAGTTTTGGTCATGCTCTCACCTAAGTCATTGTAAAATAGGAATTACAGGACGCCGTTGTTTTGGACAAAGTTCCTGTACTAGGCCCTAAAAGACCAAGCTAAAAATCCAAATGGGGTCACCCCTGCCAAGTTCCACATCACCAAACCTAAACTAAGTGTGGTCAACCTTTTGAGAAATTAGGAGAGGGAGGTAACAGCCCATTTCCCAAACAAGCCAGTTTAAATCTTCCATCAGCATGATCATAACGTTTCCTCTGCCTTAATCCTTTAAATAAAAAGAGTAGCCTGAATGATAGGTTTTGAACATAACCAGTGCCATTTTAGGCAAGGCCAAGAACAAAATGGCCACCAGCCCCCACCCCCTTACAAGAAGCCTGTGACTTCTGTGAAATAGAAACCCTTTTGGCTTCCACATAGGGGCAATTTTCCACCTCAGTTGCATCAGCCAGGTGGAGCTTCCACACTAGCGTAATGCTCCTCCTTGATGGCATCAGCCAGCCCTGGTGCCCTGTAGCCTATATAAGCTCTTCCCACCCTGACACCTGGTGCTGCTCTCCACTTTGCCCAGCTGCTGCTCTCCATTTTGAGGGCAGCCCGGCAGATTCCTTTTCCTTAATAAAGCTTGATCGGTACCCGGCGGTGTTTTGGCTCACTTTCTCTCACTGAAGTAACCTGTTCTGTCTCTCTGTCCCCATCTTATAAGGAAAGTGACTTGGAAATGACCAATCCACTTTTTGTTCTTTGTTTCTGCTTCCTTCAGTCCTTTCTGTCTATAAAACCAATCTCCTCTGCTGGGCTCACTGGGACACTTACTCTATTTTATGGAAACATGTGCTGCCCAATTCTAGAATTGCAATAAAGCCAATTGAGATCTTTTAAAAATATGCATATAGACAAGCACAGAGAAGAGGCCACGTGATTACACAGTGAGAAGGAAAGCCAAGGAGAGAGGCCTCAGGAGAAACTAAACCTATCAATACCCTGATCTTGGACTTCCAGCCTCCAGAACTGTGAGAAGTAAATTTCTATTGTGTATATATATACATATATATTTCACTTAAATATATGATGTATTCATATTATTAATTATATAATACATAATTATTAACAATATATATTAACATGTATAAATTTAGTCTCACTCTAAATAATATCTATGGAGTCACAGCTTGGTTTTGTAGATATGTGTATTTACCTATATTTATATATACTATATATAAAAAAATTTATATAAAACCCAACTGATTATATGGACATTAATTTCAGGGTGAGATGAAATTTATCTAAGTAAAAATATTAATAAACCTTAAAAATACTGAGTAATAGTAGATGTTACACTGGGCATAGAAGTCCCAGTAAAAAAAAACCCACCCTGCCTCATGAGGCAACCTCACTCAGTGTTTGTTTTACTCTGATAATTCATAGTCCCCCACCCCCACCCAAAGTAAGTTATCCTATAGCTTTGTCACACAGCACTTTGTCAGTTCATTGTTTCTTCTCAAACAATCCCTAGTAATCACAACAATGTCTGGCACACAGTACTTCCTTAATAAATGCATGTTGAATGAGTAAATTAGTGAAGAATTAAATATTGTATGCTCACTTTGTATGTAGAGAGACCCAAAGTAGGTCAAATAACTTATTCGAGTTCACACAGATCCTAAGTAAAACAAAAAATATGTCTCCCAGATCAGTTCCACTTAATATGCACCACATGCCAGCAATGTGCCATGCAGTGTGCTAGGGGCTGGTGATATGAATGAAAGGTGACAATCATCACATGACCACTGTCCTAAAGGAGAACGCTACCTTTTGTCCAAGGTCCACGCGAAGTGCACGTTTATAATCTTGTTGATTAGCAGGGAAAGTACTACAAACTGTCACTGATTGACTTTTAAGAAAAAGGATGAAGATTTGGGAAGGTTGAAACATAGATCACTTACCTCTAAACTAGCATGTAAGGAACAGACCAACAAAATGGGAGGATTTGAAATTCGGAATCCACTGGCCCCAGGGATTAACTGCAGTTCTGAAAAATGAATATGCCATTTTTACAGAATGGACATTAAAAAGTTTTCATTAAGACAAAAAAGCAGTAGAAAGTAAATGAGTAAGACTTAAAAGCTTTTATTCCCGGGTATGATTTCTGAGATGTTTAAGAGAAACTCAACAGAGCTAAAATACTGGCAAATTTTCCCTTCACTGGCAATTCCCACCTTCTTAGCGGCCTTCTGGGCACTCGAACCCTTAGACACAAGCCTTAGATAAAAATGACCTTGGCCTTCTCATGTCCAAGCCAGCATTTCTTGTTCTGCCCACACTTTGCTTTTCTTTTCTGAAGCATGTCAACAAGAAAGAACATCAAGATTTGAGTGACATGTAATTGTAATGTCACCCAAGGCAGAAATATGAATGAAATGACCTATGAAGGTGACTTTTAGCTCTGGGAATATTAGGTCAAGTGGCTTTTCTTAGGAGAAAGGGATGGGGGAGGTTTAAGAAAGTCTAAGTATGATATATTAAAAAGGTAAAAAGCAGATAATATCCTAATTACAATTAAGTAGATTGAATTGTAGCAAGTTAAATCCCAGAGGATTCAGATGGCTAGTCAGAGCTCAAATGAAAACCAAGACTGCCTAAAACAATGTTAAAACATGATTCTTCAGAGATTTATCTAATCCAGGACTAGTCAAACTATTACCTGAAGTCTAAATGCAACCCACCACCTGTGTTCTAAATACAGTTTTATTGGAACACTGCCAAACTTTGGGTGCTTTAGCACCACGGTGGCAGAGCTGAGTATTTGCCACCGAGGCTGCATAGCCCAAAAAGCTTAAAGTATTTCCTGTGTTCTAAATACAGTTTTATTGGAACACTGCCAAACTTTGGGTGCTTTAGCACCACGGTGACAGAGCTGAGTATTTGCCACCGAGGCTGCATAGCCCAAAAAGCTTAAAGTATTTCTTATCTGGTCATTCATAGAAAAAGTTTGGCTACTCCTGATCCAATCCAATTCCTTTATTTACAGATAAGAAAACCCATCTCAAAGAATTTAAGTAACTGGCAGAATAACTGAGCTAGTTATTTTGCAGCGAAGATAAAATACTGGTTTCCTGATTTGACTGGAATAGCCCATCTTGATCATTTGCATCTTTGTTGTTGCAAATAAGAATTTATACAAAACAGTATTTCAGGGCTGGAAGCAGCCTGAAGAATCTGGTTCATGCTGAACTCTCAAAACATGGATGATGCTTTCTGTATCCCATGTGATTGACGGACGGAGTCACTCAGGAAAAAGGATTGGGGCAGTCTGTGAGCCCTACGCGTGGTTTAGTTTCATTTCTACCCACCGGGGTTTAACTGCTCATAGGAATTGCTACACTCTTCAGTATGTGGCAAATGCCACAAAAAAAGGATATTTGGGAAAAGAAAGAAGTAAAAATGAACATTTATTAAAGTACTGCTACGTGCTACTTGGTTTACAGTTTTGAACTTAACTTACCCTTAAACCAAACCTGAGATAGACATTACAGTTCACATTTTATATGCAGTAAGAAAAAGTGACCCAGGATGGTATGCCTTGTGCAGGATCACAAAGCTACTGAGCAGCAAAGTGGAATTGACACCCCGGTCTCCCTGGGTCTGAGCTCAAGCCCAAATTTCCTCCTGTCCTCACTGCATGATGTGTTGGGCACTACATATTGATCGGACCTGACCAAGCCACATGAAACAAACATTAGTCTTCATTTCCTTTTATCTCTCTAGAGAGGGATAGACACAAAATCATGCTAAAATCTGTAAACTCTTAGTCTTACACTCTGGAAATGTCATTTCTTATTTTAAGAATTCCCAGTGACATTTTCAAAGTGCACACTCCATGGGGCATGTATATTACATATAATACAAAGGCAAATGAAAAGTGAAATAAAGTTTAAATGACTTATGAAGTAAAATAGAATACACTTACTATTATCCATTTTAAATCTGGTGCTGAGTTCATGGCCAAACCATCCCACTAACCTAAAAAAAAAATAGGAACATTAGATATTTTGGTCTACAAAAATAGCTGCAATTAATTTAGAAAATTGAGGCCTGCATATTAAAACCACTTGTGGGGTAAGGTATCAAATACTGAGCAGATAAATGTTGTATGATATCATAAGGTAATTAATACTTATAACATTGTGAAGAATGAAGATAAATTAATCCACATTATTTTATTTTTGTGCAGTAAAAACATCTGAAGAATTAAATTTGTTTTTTTTCTTATTTAGAACTTTTTTTTTTAAGATTTCACATATGAGCAAGTCATGCATTATTTTTCTTCCTATGCCTGGCTTACTTTACTTGGTTTTACTTGGTTTTACATAGATTCCAGTTCCATCCACGTTGCTGCAAATGACAGTATTTTTTTAATAGCTGAATAGTATTCCATTATGGTTATATACCAGTTTTTTTATCCACTCATCTGTTGAAGGGCATTCACTCATCTATGAACAGTGTTGCAATGAACATGGGAGGGCAGGTGTCACTTTGATATAATGATTTCAATTCCTTTGAGTATAAACCCAGTGGTGGGACTGCTGGGTCATAAGTGAAGTAAGCCAGAGTAGAATAATGGTTACCAGAGGCTAAGGGGTGGGGGGGTGGGGGGGACGGGGAAAGGAAAGGGATGGATTAAAGGGTACAAAGCTATGCTATCCACAAATATGTACAAATAAATGTTAAAAAAAAAAAAAAGAGAGAGAAAGAGAGAGGCAAAATTAAAAGGCAAACCAAAGATGGGGAAAGGAGTGATGCTTGCCACATAGGAGAATTTTCACCAAGAGACTTTTTCATAGAAAAAGGACGATGCACCAAGAGCTACACAGCCATAGCACATGGACAGGCTATTTATGAAAGGAGAAACACATGCTCCATGAATTGAGGAAAAACAAATGAAACAAACACTTTAATCTTTCTCACTAATAATTAAAACTATGAAATAACATAAGGATAAGACCATATCTCATATATCAAATTGGTAAAGTGACTTTAAAATGATGATGCCTATTTTCATCAAGAATTTAAGGAAAAAGAAAATTAGCCCTTTGGCTAATAATGAGAATAATACGTAATAAAACCTTTCTGGAGGACAATATGAGAAAATATATGAAAAATATGCATAGTTTCTATCCCAGAAATTTTACTCCTTCCAATTTATCCAAAGAACTATTTGGAGGATGCCAAGATTTGTGTACAATTAGCATAATACTATTCACAGTGTCAAAGCCACCTTAACATCTTATAGAATTAAAGAAATAATCACACTACTTACATATGGCGGGATACTACACAGCCATTACAAAAATCCTATTTAAAAGAATATATATTCAAAAAGGATGAAGTGGAGATCACAATATTTACAGTATGATTCCAATTTGAGAACAACAAAATGTATGCATTTATATGTAACTATGACCAAAATGTTAAAATTTTAAATTTCTACTTTAGTCATATCTATATTTTCCAGAATTTCCTAAAGATCATATACTGTTCTTGCATGAGAGAAAAGTTCTAACTATAATTTTAACTACTATTCATTACTCAAAACATTTTAATTCTAAAAAAAAAATCTTATTTTATGCATTTTGCATATGTATTTTTGTATAGAAATTAGCAAAGCTGGATTAATTATGTGAACTGATTAATCTTTTTACTCTATCATTCAAAAATATTATATGGCTCCCACTAACTTAAAGGTTAAAATTTATAACACATCACTCCAAGCATGCCATTCAATTATTTATTTCTAATATTTATTAGAAATATTTATTTCTAATTATTTATTTTAATTTTATTCTTATTTTATTCTAATTTTATTCCTTATTTCTAATATTTATTAGAAATATTTATTTCTAATTATTTATTTTAATTTTATTCTTATTTTATTCTAATTTTATTCCTTATTTCTAATATTTATTCTCTCATTTCAAACCATTTATTTTATAAACCTAACACCTCTCTCTTTTTCTCCCACTGGTTTGTTGGCCTGTAATGCTGACATTGGGTACAAGCTGAATAAGAGGAATTAAAGAAAAGAATCAAACTAGAGTGGTAAAAACTTAAATAATAGAATATCCAATGAAGTTCAGCAAGAGTAAACTTTCTGAAGTGAAGGCAAGTTGCTCAATTTGAATTTCAAAAGCTACGCCCTTGATGCAACCACAAGGACAGTGGTTGAGCAGAGCCATTTTCAGAGTGGCTATTACGTCTTGTACAGAAAAAGAGAGGAGGCACATCCATATTAAGAATCAAGAGGGGGGCCGGCCCGGTGGAGCACTGGAGAGTGTGCCGCTTGGGAGTGCGGCGGCGCTCCCGCCGAGGGTTCGGATCCCATGTGGAGACCGGTTCCCGCTCACTGGCTGAGCATGGTGCGGGCACGACACCGAGGGTTGCGATACCGTTGCCAGTCCCCGGTATGGGTGTGACACCGAGGGTTGTGATCCCGTTACCAGTCAGTAAAAAAGACAAAAAGGAAAAAAAAAAAAGAATCAAGAGGAGCCCTAATAGTTGGAAGTAGTCAGCAAATGAGAAACCTACAAGGCTACTCTGTCCCCTTCCTTAACCTCTTGCCTAGGTACTTTTCCTAAATTACTGATCCAGGAAAACTAATTCAGTGATGAGGAATGCAAAAAACTGGATATAGTATTGACACAAAGATTCTACATGAAAAATGTGAGGATAGCAAAACCTTTCCACAGATGAAAAATATGCACCAGGAAAAGGTTAGTAGAAAGCTGCTAAAAAATGTAAAGCAAGTGAATAAAAAAAAAAAAAAAGAGATTAGATGAAATAATATTCCATGTGATAGGAAAATGTCAAATAAAAATGTGGGAATAGGATTGATATAGCTTGACATTTGGAGGGGCAAAAATGAGCTTGAAGAAATCAGGAAAAAAAGAATACACATGAAAGAAATAAAAAAGGATTTGGAAGGAATTCAAGAAAGGCAAGATACTGTGAAAAGACAGCAAGCGACAGAGGATAGTTGTTAGAACAAATAAAACACAAAGCAGAAAGATAGATTTAAAGTTTAGAGAGAAAATGATAAATATAGTAAGCAGATAAAGAAGTTCTATTATAACCAAAATTCGTTTCCAAAGAAAAAAACAAAACAATAAAGACTTTTTTAAAAGTTATAATTCATAACAACATTGATTAAATAAAAAAAGATTTATATCTACATATTGACAAAAATGCAACATTGTCTGAGTGAGTTGAGGGAAGTTAACCCAGAGTGATCAATTTTGGTTACTGCTTCTTATTAAACTTATTGATTTTCAGAATGAAGAAAAAAATTGGAGTTCTAGACAAAAAAGATTAAGTCAGAATAAAAGGAGTAATACGAGATTAGCTTCAGCTTTATCAAATGCAACCATTCAATGACAGAGAATGCTGTAGAAATACCCATGTAATACTCTAAGAAAGAAAATGTGGTACACAAATGTTATGTTTGGATGAGCTAAACTGAATAAAAGTTACTGGTATTGGTCAAGCAAGAGTTCAACTAATACTTTTCTCATGAACTCTTTAGCAAAATCCTACCTGAGGAGGAACTTAAGTCAGCCAAGAGATGATGGGGAAACTATGAAAAAAAGACATGTCCTAATTACTGAATGTATTTAATTACAGTACTGAGATTAAGTAAATGTGGGGATTGAGGTGACAGAACATAATTGTATGGGGTTAAAAATCTTGATTCTCATTTGACTTTTAGACAGGGCTCTTTAGCTAAAAAACTGATGGGACCAAAGCCCACAGCTAGTGGGGCAAAAAGCCTATCTAATCAAATCAAATCAGGTATATGTCGATTCTCAGTTGATTTTTAGATAGGGTTTTTTGGTAATGCATGTATGGGACAAAAGTCCTCAGCTTGGGAGCAAAAACCCACAACTAGCAGGCAACAGCCCATCTAATCAATTCTAATCACTGTTTAGGGAGGGGATTACGTACTTTCATTATTTAACATACTGATTGTTGTTAAAAGTTGTTGAAAGAATTGCTGTAGAGAAAAATGTGAAAAAATGTTTGCTAAGGGCAAGCTGTTTGTTGGTGGAATCTTCAGAGACAATTATACCTAGACTTAATCATAAGAATGTAACTTTTGCTTAAATCATTTAAGGAGAGGTTATATTTTAGATTAGATAATGATCACAGTTTGATAAACTTAGCTTTTCACAAATTGTACTTTGGAATGTCACGTTAATTTAAATGATGTTACTAGTTTCTATGGTTTAAGCTATACTTAGCCCTAGATAACTTCTGTTAATGACCTGAAATGAAGATTACAGCTTTTTAAAAAGTGCTCATAAAATGTTACCTATAGGGCCGGCCCCGTGGCTCACTCAGGAGAGTGCGGCGCTGGTAGTGCTGAGGCTGCGGGTTCAGATCCTATATAGGGATGGCCAGTGCTCTCACTGGCTAAGCATGGTGCAGACCACACATTGCTGAAGGTTGTGATTCCCTTACCGGTCAAAAAAAAAAAAAAAAATGCTACCTATAACTGTAAAAAACTTCTAATATTTCCAAAGTGTATATATTGCCAACTGTATTTTCTGACTACAATACAATAAAACTAAGGATTAATAAGAAGCTCAGAAAACAAAAATACCCAATTACAAGATAAATTATAGAAAAAAATTCGAATTATTTTTGATGAATACAATCTGATTTGGTAGAATTTCTTAAAAATAATGATAATGAAATCAGTATAGATCAACATTTTTGAAATATTGTTAGAACAATGCATAGAGAATGATTCATAGCTTTAAATTTCAGATCAATTTTTTATAAAAGCAAATAAATCAAAAATAAGACTGAAAAATTCATAAAAGAACAAGAAAAGAAACTGAAACAAAGCAGTAAAATATGCAATTAATAAAAAAGCTGAAATTAGTAGTTAGAAAACAAAATACAGTTACATTAATACATAAGTCAAAAATCAACTTTGATAAGGAAAAGGGATACCAATCAATCAA